CGTGCGCGTGTGCGTGTGTGTGTGTGTGTGTGTGTGTGTGTGTGTGTGTGTGTGTGTGTGTGTGTGTGTGTGTGTGTGTGTGTGTGTGTATGTGTGTGTGTGTGTGTGTGTGTGTGTGTGTGTGTGTGTGCGTGTGTGTGTGTGTGTGTGTGTGTGCGTGTGTGCGTGTGTGCGTGTGTGCGTGTGTGCGTGTGTGTGTGTGTGTGTGTGTGTGTGTGTGTGTGTGTGTGTGTGTGTGTGTGTGTGTGTGTGTGTGTGTGCGTGTGTGTGCATGTGTGTGTGCGTGTGCACGCGCGCGCGCGTGTCTTATCAAGCTATCTAAATCAGAAATTCCTAATTTACGAGAAAGTAAAATAAAAAGCAGTTCAGTCTGTACGTGCCACACCCCTAATCAGTTGCATCTCCCCGAGGAAACTTCTAGAAACAGGATGCAACTTAACCGTGTTGCTCAGGTATTGAACGAGCTTAACTGACCCCTCACTAACGGTAATATTCAAATCATTTTAAGCAAATCTTCATATGAAATATTGATTACATTTTATGTTCCTTTGTTAAGTTAGACGATGAATGGGTGGAGTGAAATGAAACTCTTCGTAAAATCAAAACTCATGGTACACATCTATTATAATATCTATTAAATAAAGTTTAATTCATAACTAACCTGTCTAATTCCTAATATTCCTTTGAAATCAGCTATTTATTTTATAATTGTCTTGAGACGGAAATACACTTTTTCATTTACCTTTTTTTTTAAGGTCTTTTATTTGAATAATGCGAAGGTTAATTAGTAAAATCTTCCAGGCATTCACCTTTATTTTAAATTTTGAAAGACATAACAATGCAAAGTGCATTTAAATGGTCAATCAATATAAGCAAGGAAAATTATAAGACAGGATGAGAATCGGAGAGAGAGAGAGAGATAAAGAGGAGGTGAGGGAGAGTTAAGGGAGGAGAGAGAAAGTTGAAGGGGCAAGAACAAGAATAAAGGAGAGAGAAGAGAGAAGAGAAGAGAAGAGAAGAGAGGGGGGAGGGGGGGAGGGAGGGAGGGAGGGAGGGAGGGAGGGAGAGAGGGAGAGAGAGAGAGAGAGAGAGAGAGAGAGAGAGAGAGAGAGAGAGAGAGAGAGAGAGAGAGAGAGAGAGAGAGAGAGAGAGGAGGAGGAGAGAGAGAGAAGAGAAGAGAGAGAAGTATAGAAAATATCACCAACACAGGCACATAGAGAGAAAATAGCACTAGCAGAGCGAGTGTGCAACACATAACCTACGAAATCCAATGACAGTTGCTTGCAGTCGTAAAGATATTTTGTAAAGGTTGGCAGATCAGACAGATATACAAGTTTTTGGGAAGAATGTTTTACATAGTTTGGGAAGGAGTGGTTGGCACAAAAGTTGACTTGGTGGGAATCACCAGTAATTAAACGAAAAGAAAATCATATATGTGACGTGAAACTATATGCATGTGTTTCGGACTTTGAACCGTAAAACAAAATTCCCTTTTTAATCTAAAATTCTCTACAGCATTCCGTGGCCGATAATATACTGTACAATACACATCTATGATCCTACACGATAATACTGTAGATCCTTCACCCATAATCGAGTATGGTTAGCTCTAGTCAGTAATATTTTATGCACATAATACTAATCTACCTCTATGAGGCTTTCGTCCCCGTGTTCCTAAAATCGTCAACAGATGTCGTTGCTGTCCAAGACACCTCCGTTTTCTTTCCCCTTAACCTTACTGTCAACTTTACATGCATAGAAAACAAAGATTAAAAAAAAATCTTAACCCAAAAGAGACTTGTTTTATATGAAAATATAAAAGACACAAGAACGTGGTAAACAAAATCTGCAATGCGTAAGGTTAAAGTGATGAATACGTCACTCAAAATTTGTGAAGTCATTCTTCCATATAAACTGCAGCACGACATCTCTTGTGGACATTATCTTAAGCAATTAATCAATAATAATCCCCAAATTAAAATCACGTACTCGGCACTTTTACAAAACCTACTCAATACACACATTGGCACAATCACTCAAACCATCAAGTTAGTATGACATAAAACACAATTTCTTTTCATCCCAACTTGACTGGGCTGAATTATGCCGATCTATTTAGTAGTTCATAACAGCCTGATAAATTGTTAATTCAATTAATAAATAAAATATTGATTAATGAAAAAAAGAAAACCCCTATTTCACTGAATTCTACAACCATGTGATAAACCTACCATTTTCTATAACCGACATCGAGTTTCCATCGTTTCATTTTTTTATCTATTTATCTATTTATTCTTTACTATGAAGTGGGAACAGAAACTAAGAGAGGCGTGTGATAATTTATCTAATGTACATGATTGGCATATTTCCCCTTTGCATGTGCAATACATGTTATTTCATTATTTATTTAATACATATATTTATATATACATACAGTGGGTGCGCAAACACACATACAAATTCGTTCTATATGCGTGAATGCTTATGAGCGCGCGTGTGTATGTGTATGTGTGTATGCTTATGTCTGTGTGCGTGTGTGTGTGCGCGCTTGCGCGTGTATGTGTGTGTGAGTGCGCATGCGTGTGTACATGCGTATGCGTAAGCGTATGTGTATGCTCATGCCCAATTCTACGTAAACGTACCATCTACAAAATCTTCCCTCACAATATCTCACTTACAGTATTGAAGCATAGCAAGTCAATGAAGGCAGCAACAACATAAAAAATAAACAAATAAATAAAAAGAAAGAAAACAAAACAACTTTCCGACAGGCACTGAACTCACACTTAACTCTACGTGGTACAAAATATATGATGATATGATACAGTGGTTTAAAGGACGGAATAAGAACCTGTTATATAGTGAGAATGGGATATGTCGGCCAGGTACTGTCTGTGATGTATCCATCTTCGTGTTTTATTCCTTTCTCTTTATTGCATTTTCTTCTTCTTGCTTTCTTCCTTTTCGTCCTTTTATGGACTATTTTAAAATGTAAAAAAAAAGTATGTAGATGAGTGTAGAAGACTTCATTTTTATACATGTTATGTATTTTTTTCCATACTTATATTGTTTCTTGACTTTATTTTTTTTTTCTTGTCAATATCGTATTTTCACAAGGTACAGAAAACGTCATTGATCGAGGAGTAACTCTCTCCTCAAAAAAAATATATATATACATAAAGTCATCACTCGAAAAAAACTGCAGCTTCCTCATAGTTCAACAATCACTGTTCGAGAAATAAGCTCACACTCACAATTTCTTCATAACTTAGTCTTTTTTTTCCATTTTTGTTCAACAGCCACCGGTTACTTGCTGCTAAAAAAAAAACGTGTCCTTTTGCACCTTCGTGTATATGGAAAACACATCGCTAACCAGGAAAAGCAATGTGACATATTTTTTCCTTTTATCTTTTCCCCGTTTATCATGTTTTAATACGTCTTTTGCTCACTTATAACTGTAATGTTTGGAGTATACATTACTTATATACTGTAATAATTATACATGTGTTTAGCTGTTTCTTTTCATACAGATCAATATACATGAAAAACGGGATAAAGGGCTAACAAGTCCATATACATAAATATTACTTATGTGTGTACGTAACTACATACATACATACAAATATACATACACACACATATATACAATGTAATATAACACACTTATAATCAGATCATGACGAACAAGCCCACACACGGAAAAAAAAATCACACGTTGGAGCATGGGTTGCCCTCCTCGTCCACGAAATCGCCCACCATAGACAGCGTGGGCGGCTGGGCGGACGCAGGCACAACGGTGAGGGTCGTGGGCTGGGCGACGGAGACGACCGTGAGCGTGGGCGACTGGGTGGCACTTGGGGACGAGTCTATGGGCGGAGCTTCCCAGTACTCTCCCCCTTCATCACGCCCACGGGAGGCCCCCCTGTAGGACAAAGCAAATTTTAGTGAGCGGGGAAGAGATCGAATTTGTGAAAAAAAAAAGAGAAAAAAAAAGAGAGAGACGATTATGATTTCTGTCATGTCATTCACTTTGCATATTTAAAGTTGGTTTACAGGATATCCTCCGAGTCATGCAGTTCATAAATAAAAAAAAAGTCTCCCCTAAAAAAAAAAAGGCATAAGCCCACAAAAATAAGTGAAAACGATAATCCCGTTTTCGGTCATGTCACTTAGTACCACATCAAAGCTGCATTGCACATGTCATACCATTCTCAAACAGAGTCATGCAGTTCAAACAAACATATTAAAAAATATATATAACATAAAGTCATCACTCGAAAAAAACTGCAGCTTCCTCATAGTTCAACAATCACTGTTCGAGAAATAAGCTCACACTCACAATTTCTTCATAACTTAGTCTTTTTTTTCCATTTTTGTTCAACAGCCACCGGTTACTTGCTGCTAAAAAAAAAAACGTGTCCTTTTGCACCTTTGTGTATATGGAAAACACATCGCTAACCAGGAAAAGCAATGTGACATATTTTTTCCTTTTATCTTTTCCCCGTTTATCATGTTTTAATACGTCTTTTGCTCACTTATAACTGTAATGTTTGGAGTATACATTACTTATATACTATAATAATTATACATGTGTTTAGCTGTTTCTTTTCATACAGATCAATATACATGAAAAACGGGATAAAGGGCCGGCCCCCCTGTAGGACAAAGCAAATTTTTAGTGAGCGGGGAAGAGATCGAATTTGTGAAAAAAAAAAGAGAAAAAAAGAGAGAGATGATTATGATTTCTGTCATGTCATTCACTTTGCATATTTAAAGTTGGTTTACAGGATATCCTCCGAGTCATGCAGTTCATAAATAAAAAAAAAGTCTCCCCTAAAAAAAAGGCATAAGCCCACAAAAATAAGTGAAAACGATAATCCCGTTTTCGGTCATGTCACTTAGTACCACATCAAAGCTGCATTGCACATGTCATACCATTCTCAAACAGAGTCATGCAGTTCAAACAAACATATTAAAAATATATATAACATAAAGTCATCACTCGAAAAAAACTGCAGCTTCCTCATAGTTCAACAATCACTGTTCGAGAAATAAGCTCACACTCACAATTTCTTCATAACTTAGTCTTTTTTTTCCATTTTTGTTCAACAGCCACCGGTTACTTGCTGCTAAAAAAAAAAAACGTGTCCTTTTGCACCTTCGTGTATATGGAAAACACATCGCTAACCAGGAAAAGCAATGTGACATATTTTTTCCTTTTATCTTTTCCCCGTTTATCATGTTTTAATACGTCTTTTGCTCACTTATAACTGTAATGTTTGGAGTATACATTACTTATATACTATAATAATTATACATGTGTTTAGTTGTTTCTCTTCATACAGATCAATATACATGAAAAAC